TTTCTCCTCATCTCTCTTTCAAGCCTTGCAGCTTGACATTTCGCCGTGCTCTCCGGGGACTCCTGTGCGAAATGGAGTTACTGGGAGAGCGCCACTGTAAATTCCAGGAGGCCACATGTAATGTGTCTTAAACATAGATGGACAGCACCAGGTTTCCTCGAGATGAAGAATGAGACGGAGGGAAAAAAGAAGGGGATAGGATGAGGAGGAAGTGGCGTCTGGATAGATAATAGAATAATGCTGTGTTTTGTCTGGGGAAGGGTGAGCAAACAGTGGCTATGCTGTCATTCACACCCTATATCTTCAGTGTCATCGCAGAGGGGGGAAACTACAGGCCTATATATCACAGGCCTGTATGTCCTATTCTGTAGGGACAGGCTTGAAATAAAAAGAAGGATGGCTCTCATTGTAAATAAGTCAGACACAAGGACTGCCAGGGTCTTTTCAGTGAAAGGGGAAATAAGACATACAGTACACGTTACTTCCCTAATGCTCCTCCAGCCTTTACAGGAAGCCCTTATCTTCAAACAGATGATGACGGTTAACAAAAGGCCCCTTTATGAAATCGTTCATATTTCAGCGCAGGTCTGTCTCCTGTCCTGAGAGGTGATTGATGCATCAGGCCCGGGCCGGTGTCTTATTTACACAGTTGAGTGGGGCAATCTCAGGCCTGGAAGATAAACCTAATGAGCTTCTTTGTGTAAGGGTGCAAATGAGAGACACCATCCTCCCTTCCTCCCTCCTTCCCTATTCCATCCAAAGGGACAGTCTGGGTGATTAGGCCTTTAAATTATGCTCAAGGGCAAAGCCTAGATTTGCATCTTAGGTGTGTGTGTGTGTGTGTGTGTGTGTGTGTGTGTGTGTGTGTGTGTGTCAAACGGAGAGAGGCAGGTGAAGGGCAATGGGAGGAAGATGCTTGAGGCTTGTTTGTGAGAGGTGATGGAGGGTGAGCAATGTGTGGCAGTATTTTAAGAATTTAACTACGCTACACAACAAACTTGAGTTGTCAAAAGAAGGAGGTGACATACACACACACACACACACACACACACACACACACACACACACACACACACACACACACACACACACACACATTCATTTAGTCCTTTGTCTGTGCGGTAACTTTCTCCCTAATGACTTTCATTTTAGGGAGAATTTCATTTGCCCCTAAACCCTAAATATTACCCATCACTTGCTGTCACATTTCTCATCCCTTCCATTTCCTGCAGCTAAACAGCTAGGAAGGCAGGTTAATTGCTGTCACTCTCTAGTTGGACCACTGCCTAGCTCTCGTGTAGCGAAAGGGGTAGCCTGGAAGTAAGATGGCACCTTGGCGCACTTATTGTAATTTATGTCAAAATGCGGCAGTCATTTAAATGGGGGTTGGATCGTTTGCATTTTGCTGCATCATGTGCGCCCGTGTCTGCAGCTAACCAGTTTACCAACATGTCAAACTCTACCAGCTTGTAAAGTGCAATATTTGAGCCAAATTAAATAAACGACTGTGCTCATAAACACAATGAAAATAAAATAAAAAGCACAGGATTGACGATATAAACAACCAAAAGCAATAAATAATAACAAATGTATTATTTCGGATCTGTAAAGCAAACTGAAGTCTGAGTTTAATAAGTATGTGGATGAAAAGTAGTTATGACTGCAGAATTCATCTAAATGTTATTGAAATCACAATTTGAACTGGTGCAATATTAAAATGGCAGGATGCACAATATTTGGTAAAGGCTAAATATATGTTAAAATATAATCGTATAGTATTGAGGTGTTGCAGAGATATCCCGGCCCCATAGACTTAATAAAACATAGTTGTTTGGTACAGATCCTTTTGAAAAATAACGCCATGGTCCTTTAATATATTTTTCAATGATAAACAGAAAAAGGTTCAATCCCTCCCATATTGTGAATCATTTCACAATTGCAATATCAGTCAAGAGTTATTCTTCCAAAATGGTGCAGCCCTAGTTGTAGTGGCGGAAGGTCTTCAAACAACTGACCCGACCACACAGCAGATAAGCCTCCATCTCGCTCTGAATATCAATACACTCCGTACAGTAGGGAGCCCATTTACAGGGGGGCAGTAGTCCCGAGTATTGGCTCATCAATCCCACTGATAACCCTGGCAGGATTAAGTCTACACACCACTGTAATCAACTAACAGCCTCATTATGGGACATTATGGTATGGATCCAAAGATCAATGCATGGCTCCCTTGTACACACAGCAGCATATGATATTAAAACATAAGACAGAGATGAATTGATTGGTAATATGAGCTCAGCACAATTCTTTACGAGGGAGCTTTTATAGTGATCATTTTAGCATAGTAATTAGGGCACAGCAACATTCATCATTTGCTCTGATACATATCTGCAGCTGGCAAATTGCAATCAGATACAGTGGGTATCTAATCTGTGATCTCAAATCAAATTAGGTCTATTTAGACAACCTTGGGAACGGGGGTGATGAAGGCCTGACAGAAATTAGGGGCAAGGAAATTCAATTGTGATAGGACGGTTATCATTCAGATACACGGATAACTGTGTGTGGCCTTCACTTTGAACTGCATTTACAGCATTGTTGACAGAATTTGCGATAAAAATAAAAGCAAGTGGATTTAAAGGATTTTAGAATGAGAAAATGGTCTCTAGTGCAACTTGATCTGTGTCCTATATGGCCCAATCTATGGCTACGAGACCTTAAGATGCAGCTTTTCTAATTATAGCTGCAGGTGGTATTTTGGAGCTGCTAGGTAATGGCAGAACCCACAGGGACAATGGAGAATTCATCAGTGCTTATTATTAATCATCCCCCCAACAGCGTGATGAGAGACTGCAGCTCCTATACCCACTGGACCACTCAATGTCATTCCAAATATGGGCGGTAAATTACACCCAACAGCCTTCAATCAGACGTGGACTGGAATGTTTTAAAAGCATCACACAGGTGCAAGCAATGGACGGACACACACATGCTTCTTATGTAACTCACGTATCAACATCAGATGAAGATAAAATGATTGCATACAAATAATTCCATCTGTGGCTGGGCTGCACTCTCTGTCCAAAGAGTGTGAGCACGCCACAGGAAGTGTGTGTGAAGTTAACAGCACAGGGCCCCCTGTTTTAAAAAGCCTCCAGAGACCTGTTAGCTGGACTGCTCATTTCAATATGTCTGTCTCTGGGTTGGGAGAAGGTTCGGGCTGGCCTCTTTACAAGGCGCACACTGTCATACAACCCCCCCCCCCACATCCACCCACCACTACGAGCTCTTAGCCGTATGTCCATCTCTGGGACTTAACTAGACACTTTATGCTTACGTCGTTTTTCTGTCTCAGTGCTGTGGTCTTTTTTTTCTTTCTTTGTAAAAACGGCACAGCTTCTTTGAGTTAACATTTACATACACATGTGCTTTCTATGCTGCCATTACACATATCTTAGGAATGTCTTATGTCAGATCTCCAAATAGAACAATATTATTTACACCTTTTTATTTATAATGCAGCACTTAAATGCACTTAAAAAGATAGTATAAACACACGAAAAATAGTTTGACATTTTAAAATGGGACAGTCCTTATCCTGCTCTCTATCTCTTTCTATTCCACCCTCAATCTGCACTGTATCTCCAAATAGAAAGCCTCTCCACCTTCAAAAGTAAAAGAGTGATGACAGAGAGGGAGCGAATTGACCCCAATCAGGTGTGTGTGTGTAGAAATGGTGGTGATAAATGGAGGGGGGGGGCACAGTGCTGTGATGCCGCTGCAGCCACCAGCAGGACCACTGGGTTTGTGATGTGGATGGAGGATGGGTGCAGAATGGGGGATGGAAAGAGAGGGGAGAGGAGCCTGCAGGACATGCTTCAGTTTGCAACCCCCCCCCCCCCCAGATGCGGACACACAGTTCGTCATCTATTGTACTGCCCCCCCTCCTGACTGAACTGACCACAGGCTTTCAGCTGCCTCCGAAAGAGTACACACACACAAACACACATGAAAGTTCCCCAACGAACGGAGAAGGACAGCGCGCATCGTTACAAACCCGCGGTGATGTGTGCCCCCCCCCCCCCCGATCCACTAAACCCCGGAGCATGGCCCTCTGACCTCGTCTCCCACTGCTCTTTTGGCAAAACTGTCAAAGCCATCATTCACCGTGAAAAGACACGAGAGACACTTGACTCCTTTACTCTGCTGGCAACTGACTTTCACAACTCCTGCCCCCCAACCATCACCTCCTACAACCCCCCCCGCGGTTCATCCAACCCTCAACAATACAACATGAGACGAAGAAGGGAAAGTTAAGATTAGACACACGACGGAAGAATTTAGTAAAATGAATACAATAGATGAAAAAGAGACGGGAAAAATATTCGCCAAAAGCAACAAAAAAATACTTTCTAGTTGAGAGAGACTGCATGCAAATTATTCTTTCAAAAGTGTCCCGGTCAAAGGTTTCTCTGCCGCTGGTGGGACTGTGTGTGTGTGAGCCGAGTTAGGAGGCCCTCTGGTGGATACAGCACTGCCATGACACACACACACACACACACGCACACACACTTCCCCAACTGCTCCGTACGATGCTCCAACGCACACATTCTTCCCCTTTCTCCGGCTATGCCTCTCTTTCTCACTGACACACACACTTTGACATGCTTTCACACACACCTCACCTTGCTACAACTCTAAAAAATATAAAGTACAAATACAAAAATATGTACAAACAACTAAAACAGAATGTGCAAAAACATTTCCATCAAACAGCTTCAGGCTGACAAGCAACTAAACAACACAAACAGCCGATTAAATACATGTTTTTTATGTCTTCCCCGTGTACTGAAAAAACCCCCACAAACAATACACAATAAAAAGAGATTTCATTGTGCCGCCTGTCTATGAAGAGAAGCCCTCAGCAGAGAGCAGAGTGGGGGGGGGGAACAGAGTGAGAGTGAGGGAGAGAGACGAGACGGGGGAGAGTCACAACTTACCTGCTGTTGTTGCAGATGCAGCAGCTCGACTGTGCTTACTTCGCTGCTCGTGTCACCAGCGCTTGATCTCCCATCTCTACTGCCAGCCTCTAATTGGCTGCTGCTTAGGGTGCTCATTCCATTTTGACTCATTGAACTGTTGCTTATTGTCTCTGTGGCCGACTCCTGCATCATCATGATTTAAAACCTAGAAGTGATTAAGAGGCACCGGTTAGGGCTCTTCTTCTTACAATTCCCCCCTTTTTCCCTCCTTTCTTTTTTTTCTTCTTTACGCTTCCATTATCAAGCCCCTCAATCCCCCTCTGCAAATTAAAGCATTTAAAGAAGAGGGAGGAGGGGGGAAGGAGAAAAGGGGGGGGGGATGCAGGACGAGCAATTATGCATTCATTGTGTAAATGAAGCAATACAAAGAGATGCACGTCCTGGTGCTGTTTAAAATGGGTGGGGTAGCTAAATGTGATGTATCCGTAAAAATTGGGCGTACATGTAAGCTACAAAAGTGTGTTCTGTTGTTGTCATTTTATTTATAATAAAACTACATTTGTAGGAAATTAAGATAAAATATGAACATATGCTTAGTTCTCAACACACGGGCAATCCTAAAATATTTGACGTCTTGAGGCTGTCAGTTTTTTTTTCGGTGTGTCGCGTCTGAATGGAGTTGCCTAATGACGCAAAGCTAATCATGCAAAATTAAAATTTGGTGGAGGAGAGGAGGAGGAGGAGGCGGCACCAAATCACATGGTGCAGGGCTGCTGATGAACACTATAATGGGTATGTCATGTGTGCTAAATAAAATCTGCCACACAGGCTTCCATAGAGACACAATGCCCATATGTCAGTCCTTTTTATACTCCCTCTACTTTAATAAAAAGCTATGTATTTGTGTATTTTATCATATTTAATAAAATCCGTCAACAATTAAACCAAGCTGCAATCAAACTTTGTGATCTGTAATGCAAGACAACAATACATATAGGGTTTTGAATTCCGCATCTATTAGATATGGAAAACTCCTGAATAAGAGATATAAAATAGAAAGGAATAAAAGGAAAGAAATCAGGAATATCACTAATGATTGTGCTAAAAACAGCATAAATTATGCATATTACCTCCTCTCTCTCCAGTAATAAATGTTTTATCGTTTCCCCCCTGCATTTAATGCTCTGTACCTTCGCTGGGGCAGAAAGGACCAACATCAGTCCACATCCTCACAATAAATCAGAATAAAAAAAGCCTCAAATGCAACAAAATGCAGCCCAAGAATAATGGACTTTATTTCGTCAATATTGTTGTGGATTTTTTTAAATTAATATTTTAGACAAGGAATATTTCAAAAGATACAAAAATACTTTCTTTCAAAGTTTGCTTCAGAAGATTCCTAATCTACCAGCAGTTTGTCCATTTTCAAATACAAACAAATGTTTACACCTTAAAGAAAATGTGCAAGAGCAACCCCAGATAATGCTCATCCATGCAACAAAAGACGGAGAATGATAATTATGATTGTGAGTGTGTGTGTGTGTGTGTTTTAAGAGCATTCGTGCCCATCCCACCTGGGTACTGTGTGTATTCTTTGGCCGGTAAATACCGTTTTAATAGAAGTGTGTTTGCGTCCTTCCCTGTGTGTGTGTGTGTGTGTGTGTGTGTGTGTGTGTGTGTGTGTGTGTGTGTGTGTGTGTGTGTGTGTGTGTGTGTGTGTTTGACGAGGGGCAGATACAGGACAGGCCTTAAAGGATGTCCACAGCCAGGATAAACAGGATCCAGGCGGGGAGAACAAACAGGGCTGAGCTGTTACACAGAGCAGGGCGACAGCTGCCCAGGACACGAGTAAATAAGGAAGAGGCCGGTACAAGGCGTGCTTGTGAACAAACAGGCCCCTGTTAAACACCGCTCACTACTGATGGAGAGAGACACACAGGAAAAAAAGAAGGGAAAAAAAGAGAGGAGCAGAGAGAAGGTGGGGGGTGACGGAGGGAGACAGATGAAAAGAGTGAAAGAGAGAGAAAGTGAGTGGGAGGGAGAGGGGGAAGACTGGCACAATGTGACAACCAATCCGGTGATGAATCTAAGCATAAGAAACTCAAGGCTGCAGCCGAGATCAGCCGGCTAATAAGTATTCAAATTAGGCATACATTTTACATGCCCAATGTTTAAAATATTCAGAGAAAGACTGTCTGATTGCCTTTACTACAATTTTATGAACATTCTAATGGAGCCTGGATTTTTTTCCCGCTTTCTTTCTTCCTTTCTTTCCTGGACGAGCGATGGATATTCGGAAAACTTGAAGATATATGAGGCAAGGAAATAAGGATTTTTAATAACATCTGAATGCAAACTACTCCGGAAGTCAGAGGGAAATTGCTACTTTGATATTAACCAACCTGCTTTTAATGTGCTTGGATTATAAAACATTGATATCGTAAAATAGAGAGGTACAATTAAGAAAGGAGACATCACGGTAAAAAAAAGAAAGAAGCATAACTTGGATTTAACACACAAACAATAAAAGCCCCCCACCCTCGCTTAATCTTATAATCTTATCGCCCTCCTCCGGAAAAAAAAATCTGTGCAATATGTCCAACTGCAGAATAATGATAATGCAGATATATGCAAAGTATATTCGCAGAGATCAGATGGTGCTTTAACCTTAATGACAGCGGTGAGATAAATTAATTAGCCATCTAAAGGCGGCATTCAAATCTGCCAATTAGAATGTCAATTAGAAACACAGCCAGGCTGCAATGATGAGCGGGCTGCCGATCTGACTGTGGAGGGGAGGGGAGGGGGGGGGAGTGGAAGTGTCACAGATAGAGACACACACACTCACACACACAATACTCAGGAGAGACAGATAGTGACAATACTCAACACCTGAGGGTGTGACTGTATGCATGCGTGCTTCAAATGTGTGCCTTCCACAAGTCCAGCAGGCCCCGTACCCCTACCCTGAGGGACACCAGCCCTGACCCCAGATTGTCTAAACCAACTGGGTCGGAAGGAGTCGCACCCCCCCCCCGAGCTAAAGTATCGACTGGGGGCGCTCGCTCTGATCTGCCGGCTTGCCCACACGTGTGTTTGACATCCCATAAATTGCCGGTGTCTTGCGTTTCAACACACCCGCTATTTGATGCTATTTCCGCAAGCCATAATCTTCCAATGAGGGAAAACGCTTATTATCGTGATCGGAAACAGAGAGCAAGGCTGTTATTGGCCTGGTGATACGCTGCTGATGCTGTAGACGTATAGCTTTAGGAAGGGAGATGAAAGTGATACTAAGTGTTTAGGTTGTCGGGTAAAGGAAAGATAGGGAAGGACGGAGATAACTCTCCAAATGTACTGTCGCCCGACATTTCTATTAAGGTGGAGGCTCGATGGAGAGGAATTCCTTTTCCTGATGAAGCAGAGATAGACACTTTATTTGCAAAAAGCTTCAGACCAACAGCAGCTTTTGTCTCGTTCCTTGTGCAACCATAGCCTTGCTTGCCATTCCTCTTCAGCTCGAGCAAATATTTACCCTCAAATCTCGCGCTACGCAAATCTGTCTCCTCCATCAGGTGCAGAATCTGAAGGAAGGGTCCTGACGACGCATTTGGCCCTCCTCTTTCTTCCCAGAAGTGACACAACAAAAGGTGTAAGGAGAATCGAGCCTTTCATTGCCCCTCTCTCTCTTGCTCCCTTTTGCGCACACACACCTATCATTAAAGGGGAAAGAAGCAGCCCTCCATCTTTGTTTGCGAGCTCTAAAAGCCCTTAATGTAGCCTCATTACCTGGCCTGTCTCCCGCTCTATCATGTGCGGTAAACACACACTATGACACTGGCCATCCATCTAGTGGGAATACACAGCTGTCTGCTGGGCTCCCAACACTGTCTTGGGAACACTGGGGAATTTAACACACACACACACACTCACTGTAACGTTGTTAACACACACCAGGCTTGACACTCTTTCAGGGCCTATCCATTTTCAGTGTGAAGATGTTCTGCACTGTGTCTCTATCAGGAACACTGATCCATCCCCTCAGTTTTTATGCATGAGTTGCAACAAATAATATTTTCATTAGGATGACACAAAAGAGGGGGGAAAAAAGTGACCCGTAAATCTGTGATCCCACACGCCCGTTCATTAAGAGCTCACGTTTCAGGTGGCTGGCGTAAAATTATTTTGGTTTGTGAGGATCAAAAACAAAAAAAATAATAATAGAAATTACATTTCACAGTCTGCTGACTCCTCACAGCTCCCTGATCAAGTCGAGATATGGTTACCATTTAAAATAATCACAGATTCTGTGCTTGAGTGAAATTAATTCATCATTGCCATAAGTTACTATGCATACAAAATAAAGAAGTTACTGGGCAAGGGCAAGGGGCTCGCATATTTAATACTTCAGATTGCTTAATAAATCAAAATGCCACAAATGTGCTGACTAAAAAATGGTGCTTAAAACATTTGAAAATGATAAATGTAATGTGGATAATGGAGAACAAAGAAGTTTGAGATGACTTAATCAGATAAATGTCTGCAAGGCAAACCGTACATTTAAGAATCTTTGATTGTGATCGTATGTTTATTTGTTCTTGGGTGTGTACTGTAATTTGATCTGGTTGTCACAGCACTTTATTACAGCCTTCAGCCTCAAGCAGGCAGTTTGGAGTCGGAGATGGAAAAAGGACCACTCCGACAAAACCCAGTCCCCCGGATTAAGGAAGGCATGCCAGGCTGCCGTGCCTTAGAATTAAAAGCTTCCTTTTTGGCACTAAAGGGCCACCATAAAAGAGCATTAATGACTACTTCTTATAAACCTGTGTATGGTAATGGTTTCTGCTCTCAGATAGAGGAATTTCAAAAGTGTCTCACCGGTGAATGAAGATTGCTTTTGGAAAAAGAAAAAAAAGGGGGCTGAAGAAATCATATTTACAAAATCAGGAGTGGGGCCAAATGAAAGGAGATGAATATGAATAATGGACTCTTGCTTTTTCGGGATTAACGTTATTCAAAGCAACAGAATCAAATGTGGTTATCTCCTGTCCAATGAGCCTTACATTGAGAAAAACCTCAGTCATATTTCAATTCTTCATTTGAGCTGACAATAAATCGTAGTTCTGTGATAGGAGACATTCAGTCGAGAGTGTTCCGAACTTAATTCTCTTCTATTTACAATAAGGAGATGAGACAGAATAAGAT